GGGGGTCTGGGAGTGGAGGGTTCCAGGATTTCGGGGGGGATCCAGGGGGCAGAGGGTTGTGGAGTTGGGAGGGGGGGCTCAGGGCTTAGGGTGGGGCTGAGGTTGGGGGGTTCCAGGGTTTTGGGGTGGTCGGGGTGGGGGGATCTGGGGGCGGAGGGGTGCGGGGCTGGGGCTGATGTGCTGCTGCTGCTGTGCCAGCTGACACCAAGCGGAAGGTGGAGGAGATCTCCGAGGAGCTGCGCACGCTCGACAGCCGCCTCTGGAGCGAGAGGGACGGCCACGGCCCCCCCACGGCCCCCCCCCAGGCACCACACGGTGACGCCGATGCCATCCCCAGCGCTGCTGTGGGGGCCGCCGGCACGGTGAGCGCCGCGTGCGTCCGGGGCAGCTGGGGGGGGGCAGGGGTGGTGGGGTGGCGGTGGGGGGAGGGGGCTGAACACTGGACCCCCCCCGCCCCACTGCCACCCCACTGCTGCCTCCATCCCGCAGGACGGGGAGACGGCGCCGGGGGCGGCCAGCAGCGTGCACACGGCTGGTGGGTTCCTGCTGCGTCCCTCACTGCTGCTCTGCATCCCTGCGCTGCTCCCACTGCGTCCCCACTGCGCCACTGTGCCATCCCTGCTCTGTCCCCGGTGTCTTTACTGTGGCCCTGCACTGTCCCCACTGCATCCCCCCACTTTTTCCCCACTGCATCCCCATCGCTGTCCCTGCACTGCATCCCCCCCACTGCATCCCCCCCACTGCGCCCCCACTGCACCCTTGTGCCATCTCTGCTCTGTCCCCAGTGTCTTTACTGTGGCCCTGCACTGTCCCCACTGCACCCCCCCCGCTTTGTCCCCATTGCATCCCCACCGCTGTCCCTGCTGCATCCCTGCACTGCATCCCCCGCTGTCCCCACTGCGTCCCCACTGTGTCCCTGCTCTGCCCCCCCTGTGCCCCAGTGCCACCCCAGCACTGCGCCTCTGCATCCCTGCGCTGCTCCTCTGCTGCCTGCATTGCATCCCCGCTGCACCCCCCCTCTGTCCCCGCTGCGCCGCCGTGCCATCCCAGCGCTGTCCCCGCTGCATCCCTGCACTGCGCCCCCCGCCCCCCCCCATCGCACCCCTTTCTCCCCCTCCCCATTGCAGACAGCCGTAAGAAAATCCACTTCAAAGTGATCCGGAGCCCCCGGGAGCTGCTGCAGTTCCTGGAGGAGCTGAAGGAGAGCACCCGGAAGGTGGGGGTGGTCGGAGAGGGGGGGTCCAGCTGGTGGGGGGGGGCTGGGAGGTGGGGGCTGCACTGTAGTGGGGTGGTTTGGGCGGTGATCCCCCCACGGCCCTTTCCTCTGTGCCTCAGTTTCCCCTTTACCAACGCCCCCAGGGGTTGTCCCTGTGGATCGGGGTGAGGTGGGGGGGCACCCTTGTTTCCTGCCCCCCTTCCTCTATTTGGGATCCCCATAGGGCTGAGCCCTCCTCGTTCCTCCAGACCCAGGAGAAGGGCGGTGAGGAGCAGGTGGAGAAGAACCCTGACGCCCCCAACCCCAAGGCGTCCCCCAGCCCAGAGCGCCCCAACCCCAAAGAGCCCCCCAGCTCCGACTCCCCCGGCCCCGAGGAGCCCCCCAGCGCCGAGGAGGAGGAAGAGGTGGAGGAAGAGGAAGAAGAAGAGGAGGACGCTGAGCTGCTGGGGGGGTTTGAGAAGGAGCTGGGGGGGGTCCTGCTGCCGCGGGAGCAAATGGCGCAGCTGAAGGAGGAGGTGAAGACGGAGATGGAGAAGGAGTTTGACAACATCATCAGCGAGGTGGGTGCT